CAAACTTGGTGATGATGGTAATAACGATGTTGAGGCTGCTTTTGCAAACGTAAAATTTGATGCAAATTCATTAGATTACTTATCAAAAGTTGCTTCTTTGTTTATCTTTAATTCTTCTCTTGTAATGTTTCTTCATTAGCTTAACTGATTGTCGACTACAGAAAGAAACTACAGAACGAAATTATTACTTTAAAAAAGAGAAGAACCAAAAAAAGAGAACGAGCAGTTTGCAGGAAACCACTAACTCTAAATTTACTCAAGGTTATATGGGCGTTTCCTTTTTCGTTTGCTCTTCGATGGGGACACTCTTCATATTACCGTTATTGTAGATCCGTTTTCAGTTGTATCTGTTTCACTTCGTCCACTGTATTGTGTATTTCTGTGTCTGTGTGTATAAGTGTTGGAAAGGTGGATGGAAAAATTGAATAGGACAGGGAAGACGAATATGTACTATAAATGCGAAAGAAAAGAATAAGAAAATAGATTAAGAGATGTGTTAGATGGGAGGATGGATGATCAGGTGAATAGCTGAATGAAGGGCAGGAGAAGACCGTCCAGTTAACATACTTCTTTTTTAGACCAACAAAATATGCTAAAAATGCTGGATATGTTACAAATAAAATTCTAAAAAAAAAATTTTTTTTTTTTGCATATCACTTCACCTAAGCCTTTTCCATCGTTCTTTTTTCTTCGTTTTTATTAACATACTAAATGTTACAACAAATTGAACTGAAAAAGAAGCTTTTTTTACTTTTCTAACCTACTAAATAAGTACGCAGTTATATTTGATGTATATTTTGTTGGCGTCGTTGTTTGAATTGAAGAGATCACACCTATCACTTATACAGATTATTTATGTAAAGCGATTAGATTTTTTCAACAACTGTCAACAACTAATACCGGTTCTTCCCAAATTTCTTGCAAACGATTGTCTTCGACCTTTTCCATCCAGAAAAAAAAAATGGGGTTGTTGGAGTAAGACGGAAAATACCGTTGTCAGCAAAAATATATATGTTTTTCAGAACAAAATGGTGATTAATGAAGCGGTAAAAGATCGTTACCTTAAAATCATTATTTTAATAATTAACAGATTCCATTAAAATCCTATTCTAGACCGCTAAATAGCTACTGAACTTGTTTCTATTAGAAAGACTCTGTCTTCTAAGGCAGGTTCGTATGTGCAAACGGAAAAACTTTGTTATGCATAAATTTACCGAAAACTAAGTGAATGATTAATTGGTGACATTTATCTGTAAAATTTTATCAAAAAAGTTCACTACACAGTTCATTAATTTATATTTCTTCTTTTGTATGATAAAATCTTGCCCGAGCAAACTACTTTTTGCCTACAGATATACTATAATTAAGCTGTGATCTTTGCAAATGCAGAGATTATGTTGTACAACTGTAACTGGCGTCTCTCTCGTAGACAACTGTAAGTTTGAATCAGCAGAACAGACTTCTGACTTCATTTGTCACTATTCGGCAGAAGCGAGTGGTGCCGAGAGACCACAGAGGAGTGTCGTAGATTAATTGGTCCACTTCAGCCGATCGGGGCTGTAAAATTGCGTGAACAGATCTTAGAGAAGCCAAAAAGTTCAAATAACGTAAATGTGTCATTTTCTTTCGCTTACACGTAACGAAAAATAATGATGACGACGATGACGTTAACAGTCTGCCAATCGGATGAAAGACTTTTGCAACAGTAGAAATTTGTTGAGAATAAGCAGTTTGTTTTTCGCTTTAATTATGCTGTTTTTTGATCTTGGCATTATGTTTCAAAAAATCATAGAACTGATAGTAATCCAAGTTTTAGAAACTAAGCAATAAGAGCAACAGAGGAACTAAAAGTTACATTGTATTTAGGTTTTAGCCATTTTTTTCAAAATATCTGTATTTACTAAGAAGGAACCAACAGCTACCAGGGAACAAGTGAACAAAAAAACTTTTTGAGAATTATCTCACTGAAATCTTTGTCATCGTCTGCTTAGTTCCCTTCGTTCACCAAAAAAACGTTCTTTCTTGTTTATAATCCAATAAATATATTGAATTGAATAACTTTCATTAGATTTAGACTGAGAAAAAGCAAATTTTAGAGCACTTACTCCGTTTTGCAATTGTATTTTATTGTTAAATGAGCTGATCGAGCTGGCAGGACAGACGAGCCGTAGGACCACTAAGGCAACTACATTTCTCCGTATACTTTCACTCCTGTTATCGGAATTTGTAAACAACTTCATTTTGCTAGTCAACTGTATTTGTTGTTCTTAAAATAATAGCAAATTTTTGCACCTGAGTCGAGTCAACTGCACACGAAGTACAAAGATTGATGGCGTCTGCCGTCAAAAAATGGCGCTGTATAAATCAGTGCCTTCTGGTAAGGGCTAGGAACTGTAAGGGCGCGAAGTCTTGTACACCGAACTATGGTAGGAACTGGTAGTTGAAAAGTACTGTTAATATGTTTCAAGTTAAATCTGAAGCGGTAACAGTACTGTGGAACAAACACAGAAATAAACACAAAGATAGAAATACAAGCAATTTTAGTGTGGAAAACTCGGGCGACAAACAACTCTGATATATAATTGCTTCTGATTCAAACATTTGTTCCGTTCATTATTGACCATCGTTGACATTAACATTATTGGCAAAAAATTTCGCCGCTATTTTTTTTGACGATCAATCAATTTTAGCATAGGTATCGCAGATAAGTAGTTGCTACGCTGGTCTCATCACGTTCGTTTTTTTCTGAAGAAGTAATTACTGTTTTACTTTAACCATTTGAAAAATTCCTCTGGTCTAATTCCTCGTTAATGAGCTACTGGAATAAACACTTCTATTAGGCAATCTAAAAGGTTTATTTTCAAATTTAGTTAATGTTAGCAGTTTAATGAACTCAACTGCTTTTCAAATATACCGCCTTCTACATGTTTAGCGAACTCAAAAGAGACCCATACTCATAAAAGGGGAATTTTACAACACCGTACAACGATTATTAATTCAAATTATGTTTCTCGAAAGAGTGGGGCTTGATTCAAAATATTGTCAGGGAAAAAAACCAGACCTTTTTTTTTCTTTAAAACTTTTGAAACAAATTTATTAATCTCCATCAGTTCGACTTGAGGCAGTAAAATATCAGCGATGTTGACATTGACGGGTTAATCGTAATGTTACAACCGTTGACGTCAAAGGACATTTAATGGCCGTCCGTTTACAGAAATATAACGTCGCTTGGTAATGATTTAAGTGAAACACGACACTCCTACCCCTGAATAAGTAAATTTTTGATTGATTTACGATTGTTTAGCCTCTTTGATACGTGAAAGACTCCAAAATTTTGTAACCATCAGCACCTGCTTAAAACAGATGTGCAGCAGTGTCACAAACCCGTCCCTCCATTGGTTGGTGATGCCTTAAAAGCAACTTTGAATGCAAACATTAAAATCTCGAGCAAATGGTGACACTTCCCACATACTTTTTTTCTTTGTTGTAAGTGACATCCAAACTCTTCCACTTGTTTTTCATGTAGATAAAATCACTGCATCAATCATTCCTAATTCCATTTCCCAAACAAATTTATTAACTTAACAAGCGTCCGATCATGTCATCTAGCATACCCTTAACAGTCTCAATAAAGGAAATTTAGTAGTTTGTTTCAACGTCTACCACGACATGTTATAACACAGGGAGCAGAGCTATCAGTACCTTTGATTTTTTTAATCAAATGTTAAAATACGAAAGTAATCAGGATTTCGACGTGACTGAAAACACAAGGGTTCTAAGAAATGCGCTAAAAGAAAAAACAGAATTTACTCCATTTTGAGTAGCTCTGGCCTAATACGAACTACTTAAATTTGTTCTACATCGCCGTCATTTTTATTGGAAAGTAGTGTGATAGTCCAGCTAGGATTAGAAAACTTTCGCATCAGCTAAACGCTGGCTTTCCAACCACACCAACAGAAGCCTTCAGATGAAGAAAAGACAAAATCAAGCTTTTCCCGACAAAGTGCCTTTTAGAATGCCCACAACAGTTCTCAAGAGTTGACAAGAAGGTCCAGCAAACAAGTAATAACACACACATGTTAATTTACTATCATGAGTCCACTGCTAAACTTCAGCTTATTTTCATCTGAACTAGAAACAACGAATAAGAATAGCAAAAAAGTAGACGCCCTTAAAATCTTGGTACCTTTACAGAGTGCTTGCAACCGCTAATTTGGCTGATTGTCATCAAACATCTTTTCGAAATTTAGATCCATTGACTGCGCAACAAATATACAGGCTTTACTAAAGAGATGAAACAGAGATACTTGGTAACGTGTCAATTCAAAAAAGCAATAATAGTCTGCTTTTTTAAATCGCCTGTTTACATCAGGTAACAACAGGGCAACGACCAACATAAAAAAACAAATTCACGATAATATTATTATTTAACGAAACTGGTTTATAAAATTAATTAGTACTTACTTGTTTTTTTCACAACAATTAAACTTAACAAATTAACAAATGCTAGCGAAGTATGACCTAAAGTTCCACAGCAACAAGTTTATAACAAGGTTAATAGAAAAAACTCAGCCACTTAATGAAAACTATAACACTCAGTGCAAGATCTTCGACTTTAATCTTGAACCATATTTAATGTATGTCATTCCACAGTGAAGCTTAAACTCAAGAAGGATCAATTACTACTTGCATCGCAGTCATCACTTGTAGATGTTAAGCTAAAGTGAACTTATATACCGAAACAACTATAAAATACTATGATAACGAAGTTACTACACTTAGAAATTTATATATTCTCACTTTACCAAAAACAACAAAAAAATTCAAATATTATTTCGCCTAAACTTACGCATCCTCCTCATGCAGTGTCCTTAACCTGAAAATCCTTCTTGGTAAAAAAAAAGTGACAATAAAAGCCTAGATTTTTCCAACTGACAACAAAATAAAGGACATAAACCGAGTGATACTTAGTGAATTCATTTTCTCTAAAAAACTTGCACTTAAAACTGTTGGAGTAAAATGCTTACTTGGTGTCCTTTTTCTCGGATCAATTTTTGTTCCTCATCTAACCACATCATTTTACGTTTGTGCTGAACTATCGCCTCATTTGTATTTCGATCAATCATTGCAGTGTTAAGCACACCATCTTCAGCAGCGTAAGCTGATGCCTAGAATAAAGTCCGCCAAGAGGTACTCTTTTCATACCACTAGGAAATGTTTAGGAAAGAACAATTAATCACGAATGAAGTTAAAATACCTGCCAACCCAAAACAAGTTTTGAAAGTTCTCGACCGCTCATACCGTCCGTTTTCTCAGCAATTTCATGGCATTTGGCTACCCAATCAAAATCTGCCAATTTCAATCTTTGTTTTCTTGAACCTGAAGTAGCAGGCTCTGCAATAAATTGCTTAAAGTACTGCAACAAAATACGTTCCCTTTCCAACGGACCTGTAAAAAAATACAGTTAAAGCACAAATTCAAGCCACAAATCTTTGTAATATAATAACACCTCGCCTGGAAGGGTAAATTCAACTAGCTCATCTATACGGTCATTGACTGCCCAGTCGAACTGCTCCGGCTGATTTGATGCAACAACCAACATAAACCTGCAAAAATCCAAATGAAAACTTCGTTGAAAGTAAATAAAATTTCAAGTTCAAAAACTTTACCAAAAAATAAAAATATTGAATAGATTATTCTTCCACTGTGTGGCGATTACATAACGTATTAATAAAGCAGGCCTTCATTAAATTTTCAGGCAAAACATAGTTGCACATACTTTCTTGACTGTTCACCAGTCCTATAAAGAAATGCATTCAAAGTTGCACGCATATCCTCACCAATCTGCTCTGTAGCACGTTTACGCAAAAAGGCATCTGCTTCATCGATGAATAGCACAAGCCTTTAAAAAGTGAAGATCAAAGGAAAAACCGAATCTGAAATAAACTGACTGTCTAAAGACAGATATTACCCTTTGCGAGAGCTTTCTGCCCAATCAAAGACCTTATGCATAGCAGATACACCATCACGACCCATGGGGGCCACATCTCCTCCAGTCATAATAGCATAATCTAATCCCGAATGTCGGGCTAAACTCTGAAATAATTAGAATTTACAAGAAAGAAAGCGATATATATTAAAATTAGCAATGTCCTCAAACAAAAAAAATCTGGAACTGCATGGTCAAAAAACTTACTTTTCAAAAAAATCAGTTTATGCAAAAGCTTCTACATTTCCACAGCATTACCCAGTAACAAAAGAAGAATTAAATAGATGCTAAAAAACCTAAAATTTTCAGCCTATAACCCCCATTTCAAGTTCTTCTTTCTTAGAAAACCAAATCCACATTATGCATTTTCACTGCCATTTCAAAATATTTTTGTGATGTCCCAGTTGGAAAGCTCTTTAGCCGCCTTACCAAGCTAATTAAACACGTTCTTTGTTATCTGCCTGCTACTCGAGATATTTCATTAGTGAAGACTTAGGTAAGTAGTGATGGGTTCTACAAATCCGATGCTTACAAAAATCAAGTAGCTTCCAGCTGCTAAGAAAAATGAAACGTTCTTCCACTGACTGCCAGGTATTAATACTTTTTTCATTCTAGACTTTATGCGTCAAACTTCACAAACTTCTTTTATTTTTTTGAACTGAACTAAGCAAGATACATTTTTCTAAACTTCATATGACTTTTAATCAAGTTCCTATAATAAAGATAATCGACTTTAATTTTTTGCTGAGGAAGAAACTGACGAAACACTAGCATTTTATAGAAATTGTACAGTCCTTTACTATTATAACCAAAACAATGACAAAGAAGCTAAAAACTTATGTAAAAATTGCTTCTATAAACAACTTTTAGTGATTTAATACAACAAAAAGTCATTTTATAAACCTCATTTCTTCTGTAAAGTCCTTAATTAAAAATCTTTCAAGATTTTAAAAACTTAGAATGTGCCCACTAAATTAAGATATAAATAATTTACAGTGAAAACCAAAAACATAGCAGAAAGACAGGCTTTAAAAATGTGTCAAGTAAACGCCTTATTAAAGCTCAAAAAATCATACTTTTGCAAAAAGAGTTTTGCCAGTTCCTGGCGGACCATAAAACAAAACATTCCTGAACAAACCGTAATTCCGCTTAGTATTTTTGGTAGTGATCGCTAAATCTCGTACACGGGCTTCAAGAGCAGGCTGAAATAATACTTGTCACACTGAACAAAAAAAATATTTCAACACGAGACAATCTTCCATACCAAACTCTTTTTGTCCTTCGAATGTTTTCAATAAATACCAACAAACTAAGACTGAAAAACATTAATAAAAACTTTGAAACTTACACTTAATACAACACCCTCCAAAGGATCTCCAGGCCGTCTAATCAATAGCCTACAAGTCTTCACAGGATGTTTTAAAGTTTCTAAAGGAGTAATACGTGACGTATCCCTAACAAGACTGGGTTTACCCAATCTTGCACTAATATATCGTGCTGCAACATTCGTCCCACGTTTGGCTACGTACCATCCGACAGCTAATGCTGTCAAACTACTAACCTAAAAAACAGTTGTTAGAAAAAAACAACATTAACAAAACTTTTTGAGTTCAAAGATTGGCCATTTTGAGGAAGAAGCAAGAAATAAAAGAATTTTTCACACATGAACTTTTCACATTGAAAAGACTTCATTGAGGAACTAAATCATTTGTTTCACTGAAAAAATGAACCATAGTAAACATTGATGAATAACCAGAATTTGGAAAATTCAAACTACCTAACGAGTAAATGAAAAAAGAAAGGAAAAATGACGAAAAGAATGCAGACGTCTCAAAAAAACAAATGCAAAAACCAACCGCAGTTATGATTTTTTTCCTATCGCTTAAAAATTCTTCCAAACCAGCACCAATTACTGCTCCACTAGTCCTAAAAATTAATGACATCAAGATACTCTTTCAAAACACTAAAAAAAACTCTAAAACTATAAATTCAAATATTTAATCATATGACCTAAAAATGACGAGAAATCTAAAACTATATAATTTTTCAAAGGTAGGTGACTACGTTACTTAATCTGCTCAACAACTGTTTTCCTTCGTTCTTCTTCACTAGCGCGCAGTTGTTCTAGGTTAACATCACGATTTTCTCGTGCTGCTTTTGCCTTTGCTTTTGTTTCGGCTTCAATCTTCTCCAAATCATATTTGTGTTTTACAGCTAGTTCGTGTTCAATAGTTGCTAAAAATTTTTTTGCAATTATATAACCGTTTCTAAAGCCCCTGTATCTCAAAAAGAAAACCTTTTCTTAAAGCCTCTTGTTTTTTCACACTTTCTTCTTGTTTCTTCAACATTTCTTCTTGCATTCGAGCTTTTGAAGCTAACTCCTCTTCCTGTCGTTTTCTAGCTAGTTGGTCTTGATAATCTGCTCTCTAGAAAATTCATTACTTGGAAAAGCAAGTCCATTTTTGGTCGTCATAACCTATAAAAACTCTAGAATACTAGAAAATTTTCTAGCAGGAACAACAATTAAAACAGTACATACCATTCTTGCATGTTTTGACTCTTCTACCAAAGACTTTCTCCTTTCTTCTTCAGCTACTCGGACCTGATCACTCTTCATTGCTTGAATTTGAGCTTCTAGTTGCTAAACTTGGTCAATGATAATTAAAAAAACGTGTGAGTTGGAACAGACAAAAGCCAGTCATAACGACAGCATCAAAAAAAAAAAATAAAAAGTATTTGCCTTCTGCTGCACTTCAAACTCTTTCTGCCTCGTCAGCTCCTGTAGTCGTGAAAGTTCCAAAGCCTCTTTAGCATTTGGAAACCTCTCTAATTCACGAGCAGCTTTCGCTGCTCTTTCTAGGGCAGATGAGTCGAACGAGTACGCCATGCGACGTCCAATCTCCTCATTTTTCTTCTTTTCACTCGGATCACTACTTCCGCCGCCTTGAAATTAATATAAATAAAGGAGTAAACTACATACTGCAAAGAACAAATTAAAAAAGAACCTTGACCATTCTCAGACGGACCGGACTGAGCACTGAAGTCTGGAGGGATCACAGGTTGCTGTCTGTTCATGCCAAATAACCAAGACATTGTCCCCACTTCTATTCTTTTCTAGAAAAGTCCCTGCAAACTGAAAATTCGCAAATAAAACCAACTTTTCCTACCAAGTGTTCACTTCATTCAAGTCAAAAAACTATATTTTACTACTATAAGCCAGCTTTTACAAAAAACAAACAATAGAGAAAACTTGGGAGTCATATACTATATCCTCAAAACAGACGTTTGGAGATAGGGACTGGAAATATTGAAATACAAATACGTGACTGAATGTCTGATAATTGCAACTATACCCACTCATATGTAAAGCAGCACTTTTGATTTAGTAATAAACCTTAAAACGCATTGCGCTTTTCCAGAACCCAGTTTTGCATCATGTCGACTAAAGTTTCTGGCAAACGGTTTTAGCCTTTGCGTTCAGACTTGCAAAACTTATTCCGTATGCGCCAACAGATTAGATAGGTTTAAAACACTTCGGCACTATCCGATTTTGTTTGAATCATTTAATGAAGGAATTACTTCCTTAAATACGATGAGACCTTAATTTTATAAGCTTAACAGCTAGGTTACTGTAAATCAGCAACGACAAAGTAACAGTTTTTTTGGCCTTGACGATTAACGTTTGAAACAACTGTAGGGGTATGAACAGAAAATGATATGTTAACTAACAAGAGGAGTAGCCATAAGGGTTTGTCGCAACAAGATAATCGCACTGAAGAGAGACTACAATAACGATGGGAAGAATTGGCCCCTTAGTATAATTCTGCAGAAAAAACCAATACTTCTTCAAAATAATTTTCAACTGCAAACTGCTTTTTTAAAAAACAAAAATATTTCACTTGAGAGAATGTGCTAGCATCTCTCTCTTCCTAACTGCACAAATTAAGACCTACTGTATATTTTCTTTTCCAAACTCCAAAGCTCCTTCCTTTTTCAAAGGCGAAGCTTCAATATGAACTGGAAAAACTGCTACTAAAAATCAACTGAATCTCACGGAAATGTAAACAACGAGAGAACATGTAACTCTGAGAATTGCTTTCTGTTTAACCATCTTTATCCGAATCGCTACTTTACCTTATGCAACGAAGTGGCTTTGTAAAGCCAATGACGAGGACACTAACCCCCACCTACGCAAAATGTGTGCGTGTTTTACTAAGAAATACACTAAAGTAAGCAATCTTCTAAAATCAAATAAAACAGTTCACACCGTATATTTTACGTACCCTCTACATACTTTCTCTTACTCTGTTGCGATGCCGTCTTCCAAACCAAACAACGCAATCGAAAACAAGAACGTACATCCCCCATCCAGCCAAATAAATGATACATAATAATGAAAACCAACCGTGAGTGTAAAGGATGAATAAAAAATAACTTGAAGATGCTTAATATGCGCTCGATATTTCTACAATCAACGTTGCTTCCTAGATAACAGTAAACTACGTCCAGAAAAAGAAAAATGAAATATTTGAAGTTTGACACGAAAAATAATTTCTACAAAAGACCTCATTTCAAGTAAATAAATTTATTACTTGTAGTTTACAAATATACAACACCTCAACAATGGAAAAAATGGTAATACTCATTACACACGGATATATTTAGTTGAAAAATAAATGTACAACTTCCACCTCATCAACATTAAGATAATGTAAGAAATAAATTAAACAGATCAAAAAAGCTTTAAACCAAGCTCTTTCCAAATTAACTAATAGGCAACGAAATCCAAATCTGACAGAAGTTTCAAATCTGAAAATTAAACAACCTAATTCAAATGTAATTTCAAAGATAGAAAAAATAGTTGTCTTTGCCTGCGAACACTTTAGAATGACTAAGTTCAAAAAAAATTCACCAGAAAAATCTCCCACTAAGCCAAAAAGTCCTTATAGAACCAACCAATAAGCATAAATATAAAAACTTAAAGAAATCTCATTATGCTTGATTATGATGAAAGACTCTGAATCACCGCTAACAAATAGTCTCTATCTGGAGCAACCATAATCTCGTTCTTTTTTGTCCTTAGGCGTAGAAATGTAAGAGCATTAGACGGATCCAACTCATTTATGACGTTTTTGGACTTGTCGCAAAGTTGTTGCAGCTGTAAACAATGTTGCGATGTTGTTTCCTCATCCATAGTAGACCGTATTGCACGACCTAAAAGTTTGTTTTGTGATAACCGCCGGGAAACAAAACCATCTCAGCGTCTTGACAACAAAGTACACAACGAGGAATAGAAATAACAGGGAAGAAACTTCAACAACAAAAAAGTAGCTCGTGAGAGTGCAAAAAAAAAGTAAAACAAAAAGTTATCTCGAAGAAATCATCCTCAAAAGCAATGAAATGGTTTTAAGAAGAACCAAAAATGCTTTTATACTTCCTTTATTAAGAGAAAAAAAGCAATTGTTTATTCAACCAAATACTCAAGGTACTAGCGGTATTATCACAAGTTGCAAAAAAAAGTACAACAGATGTAATGAAACTCATACTAGAAAAAAGAAGATAGTGAAAGCTTCTTATTAAAATTTATCACAAGCCACGTTACTTTTGATTCCCTCAGTTCAAATCAATTATTGCAATGTAAAGGACAAATGGAAGCAATTTGTCTATTTAAAACATACCGATGGAGTCCATAATAATGACGCCTACAACACCCTTTTGGGACTGAATTCTTTTAATCGTTTCTTCAACATCAGTCATCGCAGAAATCTGAAACAAAAAAAAAACAGCATCCAAATCTAGTAAAATGGCAAATTTATATCATTTCATTGATGATAAATGAAATTAAAATCTTATAAGAAAAACACTACAGAAACAACTCATACACTATGCACAGTGTGATATAGAGTTATACAACTCCAACAAATATTTCGAAGAAGAAAGAAGTTATTTATTAAACACATTACTAAAATTTGTGACACAGTTTTCTTCATCCGGTCATTAGCAAATTGGAACTGCCTAACTAAATGAACGTTTTTTAAATGCTACTATTCAGCAGTGATTCGGACCATGCTGATTTTTCTTCCCTTTTTTTTTTTTTTAAACTCCAACCAATAACAAACAGTCTTCTCCGCTGAGATAAGTCAGTATAAAAAGTTCTCCTTAACCGCACCTGCTATTCGCTATACACTGCATATGCGAGCTACATAAAACTGTTTTAGTACTGTTCTTACGTATCTGGACAAATTTCATAGCCTACTTTTCTTAATCTATACACAGGTGTTTTAATTAATACAAGTAATGCAAAAGTTGATAAAATTTTTGAAGGAATAACTAGTTATACATTTATATACGGACTACCACGAGACCCAGAATAAAAACAACCAGGAATACCCTGTTGCCTATTTTCTGTAACCATTCATGCGAAGTACAGCAACGTTCCAGCAAGTGGGGAACTGCGGAAAGAAATGAAAACCTTTGCTTTTTATGCCGTTACGGGACTAACGCAGCCCTCTAATTTTGGGCGCCTGTTCAAAATTTAAGGTACTATAATATGATATGCAACGATGATAGCCGCTCAATGAATGATGCTTTCATGTACATGTATATATAGGGCAATTCATCTCCAATTTGATGTGAAACTATTTGTTGCGCAGGAACAACAATGACTTTGACACGGCCGGCTGGCAATCTGGGCCAGTGATGATCTACGTTCATATCAGAGCATTCTTAATAGTCTTACTGCGAGAAATCTGTAGTAATTTTGGCATCATTCTATACGTAAAATTTCTGGCAACAAGATGCTTGTGAATTTTTTTGGAATTTGGGTTCCTTCCTGAGTCACTACCCAAAATGTGTTATTGTGTTCAATGTGTTATTGGTTTACCGGTTTATTTACTCTACGAGTAAATATAACTTTTTTCTTGTTCATATTTATACAATTTGTTCATATCTTGTTCATTTTATTTTTTTTCATTTTTGGATTCTGCCAAGTGTTTGCCTCAAATTGTGAAATTTTTACGAAAAAATAAATTATACATTTTCTCTAATAATGTACTTTTTAGGTTGGAAAATAGGTTTTAATTCAGTATGGTTAGTGTATATATTTAAGGGAGCATTTTTATAAGGTGCTAGCCAATTGCATCACTATTTAGGTTCCGGCGCAAAAGAATTTTCACACTGAATTAGAGATGACGCCTTCTATATGCATGGTACAAATTCCTTTATTAGTTTCCAAACCTTACTACTTAAAGTTGTTAAACTTTTATTGTTTTTTTTTTTTT